AAAAAAAAAAAATCGCCCCTCCCCCCGCGGCTGCGGAGAACCCCGGGCGTGGGTGGGGCTGCCGCAGCAGCAGTAACAGCAGCTGGCATTTTTTGAGTGCCTATGATACACCAGGTGCTGTTCTAAGCTCTTTAAATGTATTTATTTATTTAATTCTTGCAAAACCCCATGGAGATAGAAACTGACATTATTTCTGTTGAGGGCAAGAGCCTTGCTCAGGGTCCTGGGGCTGTGAGGAGCAGGCTAGGAATGGACCCCAGAGCTCCCCTACAGGTAACCACTATCTGGTATTGCTCCTGTATATCCTACAAGTGAGTGAGATTTTGTCAAATTTACTTCCTGCTATAATACTTTAAAATATTATTTTCTAAGTATAAAATTTTAACATTGAATATGCTTTTTCAAATTACATGGGTTACTCCTAGAGATTGACACAACCTTCCTGGTTAGAAATCCCGAATTAGGAGTTAAAGCTTCTCCACAGTCAAAGACAGCTACGTAAGGCCTAGAGCACTTTTCTCTCTGGACTCTTTGCAGTTTTGTCTATATTTCTTTTAAGGGTCTGAGGAAAATACTGTCAGAAAAGTTAAGAGAAAATTTGAATATTCTCAAAAACCCAAACGTAGGAAGTTTTGACTTTATAAAGACATTCCTACAAGTGAAAAGAAAGGAATCACCAAAACCCACATTTTGATATTACCCTTGTGGAAACGAAGCGCTCTGCGAAGTGAACCTCTGAGACACAGACCAAAGGGAGGCTGAGGAATGAGAGAAACAGGTAATTACTACATGGAACATGCTGAATGCCCAAGGCTGCTCCTGGTGTCTGGTTTAAGCCACTGCATCACAACTTGCCTAAGGAAAAATCTAGGTGAACACACCTAAAGCAGCATCACTTATAGGAATTGGTTATGTGTGTTGAGATGTGTGCACCACACTGTCTAAAGGTGGCTAATGCAGAACCCCCCACCCAGTGACTCGTTCCTTGACCACCAAGGGCCTGGGAGGCTCAGACCCTTTCTGTGCCCAAGAGTGGGTCAGTCTCCAAGACGCTCCAGCCAGTCTCCAAGACGCTCCGGTGACCTTCATCGCCTCCTGGATTTCTCACCTGTGTCATCCCTCCCCTACGAGTTGGTCTGTGTGACCAACAGCCTTCGGCGAAAGTGATGGTTCTTCGCTTCCAAGATTAGGTTATGAAAGACTGCGACTCCTGTCTTGGATGGCGTTCTCTCTGATCTCCGGCTGTAGGGGCTGCCATGCTGTGGGCTGCCCTACAAGAGGTTGCTGTGGGGAGGAACCCACGGGAGTGCGCTTGCAGGCAGATTCTCCAGCCCTGGCTGACTTCCTTGAATGCAATCTAAGGAGAGACCCTGAGCCAAAACCACCCAGCCAGGCTGCTCCCCTGAGGAATAGCATGAGGTAGTAAATATTTGTTGTCCGAAGCTGCTAAGTTTTGCAGTAATTTGTTACATAGCGGGAGATAACTAATATACCAAGGGACAAAGTTTGGTGAGGAGAAGAGAGGCTCAGAAATAAAATGCACAGTACTTAGGTGCAAAAAGCAGAGCACAGATATTCCCAATAACCACGGTTTTTAAAAACTGAGCTATAATTTACATACCATAAAATTCACCCTTTTGAGATTCACCCATTCTCATCTCCTTGGCTGATTTCTCCTCTCTTCTCCCAACCTGTACGTCCAGGCCTGAGCCCTTGGACCTTACTTCTTTTCTATCTATGGCCGTTTCTCTAGTGATTGCGTCTATTGGATAGATTTAAATGTCACTTTCACGCTGGTGACTCCCAAGTTTACACCTCCAGCCAGGACTTCTCTCCTGGACTTGCACATCCACCTATCTACTTTGGCCACTTGCACCTCAGACGTGTGTCTCAAATCTAACAAAGCCCCTGATCCCCCAAGGCCTGCTGCTCCCACACCCCTCCCCATCACATATGATGAAAACTTCATCCTTCCAGTTGCTCAGCCCAAAACCTCCTTCATTTCTGACCTTCTCTCTCTCGCCCCTCAGCCTACATCAGCAAATCCTGATGGCTTTCCCTCCAAGGGCCCCAGGATCTAACTACTTAATGGTTTCGGAGAAGTCATCCCCTCGTCTGGATTATTATTAAAACCCTGCTCTCACCTGGCCTCCCTTCTCCACAGCAGCGAGATTCTGTTAACACTGAGGTCAGATCATGCCACTATTTTGCTAAAACTTCCAAGAGCTTCCCATTTCACTCAGAGAAAAAGCCAAAGCCCTTACAGTGGCCCATAGGGCGGGGGGCAACGTGATCCCCTGTCCCTCTGAACCCATCTCCCACGCTTGTCCCCTGGTTCACTCTGTACCCGCCACCCTTCCTCCCTGCCATTCCTGGAATATGCCCAGCACATGCCTGCTCTGCATGGTTTGCCCTGGCTCTTTTTCACATGGAATACTGTCGCCCTTTCCCCCCACCTCACCAGGTATCCACAAGGCTAATTCCCTTATTTCCTCTGGGTCTCCACTCAACACCATCTCAAGTAGAGGCCTTTCCCAACTGTCCTATTTAAAATTGAATCACTCCCTCAATTCATGCTTTACTTTTCTCCATAAGACTTATTGTCTTCCAACACACTATTAAAAAAATTGCCTGTCTCTCTGCACTTCACCTCCCCTACCACAACATTAGCTCCATTAAAAGCAGGAATTATTGTTTTATATTTATTATTGATGTACCCCTAACCCTAGACTGGTGTTTGACATTAACAGGTGCTCAATAAATGATGAATAAATGAAATTTATTCTACTAAGTCATTAGGTGAAGTCTCTGTTGTAACACTCCAGTGACTTCGAACTTTGCACCTCTCTTGGGAGCCATCCCATTGTTAAAAGCTCGGTTAGCAAGTTTCTGCTAAGTTTTTTTTTTTTTTTAAAGCTTAGTTTTGTTCAGTTAGCGAGTTCCCTATAATTCTTATGCTCTTAGCTTTGCCCTTGGCCTCACAGGGAACAAACAAGCTCCTTTATTTAATTTTTTTTTTTAAAGATGACCAGTAAGGGGATCTTAACCCTTGACTTGGTGTTGTCAGCACCACGCTCACCCAGTGAGCCAACCGGCCATCCCTATATAGGATCCGAACCCGTGGCCTTGGTGTTATCAGCACCGCACTCTCCCGAGTGAGCCACGGGTCGGCCCCAAAACAAGCTCCTTTAGATACCTGAAGTCTGGGACTGTGTCTTTCCATCCTGTCTCCTTCACTCGCTCTTCAAGGCCCCATCTACTCCCATTTTGGCCCCCTTCTCTGTACTCACTTTACTGTGTCTACCTTTCTTTCTTCAAGTGTGGGTCTGGACTTGAACATGGTATTAAGGGGTGGTTTTATGCTGGTAGAATGGTTAAGTCCCACTGCTTTTGGCAAAACTTCCCTGCCTACTTAAACCCACGTTTATTATGAAAAATGTCAGCAATTATCAACTCATGGCCAGTCTTGTCATCTACACAGCCTCTGGCCCAGCTTTACATTTTTTTAAAAGACTATTTTTTGGAGCAGTTTTAGGTTCACAGCAAAATTGAGTGGAAGGTACAGAGATTTTCCATATACACCCTGCCCCCACCACGCACAGCCTCCCCCACTACCAATGTCCCCCATCAGAGTGATACATCTGTTCCATCAGTGAGCCTACACTGACACATCATTATCACCCAAGTCCAGTTTACATTAGGGTTCACTCTTGATGTTGTACATTCCATGGATTTGACCAAATGTACAATGACATGTATCCACCATTACAGTATCATATGGAATAGTTTTGCTGCCGTAAAAACCCTCTGTGCACCGCCTATTCATCTCTCCCTCCCTCATGGCCCCAGACCCTACACCCACCCCTGATTTTTTTACTGTTTCCATAGTTTTGCCTTTTCCAAATGTCACATAGGGGAAGCATACAGTATGTAGCCTTTAGGGGCTGGCTTCTTTATCTTAGTAATATGCATTTAAGTTTCCTCCATGTTTTTTCATGGCTTAATAGCTCACTTCTTTTTTGCTGCTGAATAATATTTCACCGTATGGATGTGCTATAGTTTACTTAGCCGTCCACCTACGGAAGGACATCTTGGTTGCTTCCAAGTTTCGGCAATTGTAAATAAAGCTGCTATAAACATACGCGTGCACGTTTTTGTGTGAACATAAGTTTTCAGCGCCTTTGGGTAATACCAAGGAGCTCTGCAATTATTTTAAGCAAATCAAAGACACATCATTTCATGAGCAAAGAGGTGAGTATACTTCTATGAGAGTAATAAAACAGCCCCAATTTTAAAACATACGTAAACATTTGCACACACACACTCCAACCGTCTTCAGGCAGAGATGAACAGCGTTGTTGACAAACATAACCTTTTCTGAGCCTCATGACAACCTTTGGCGACTGGCCGGTTTGGGGATCCAAAACGTGACCTTGGTGATATAAGGGTGTGCTCTCACCAACTGAGCAAACCGGCCGGCCCAGCATTTTTCGGA